GTGTTCTCATTGTAGGCTTCGAGGGGAAGCACTGCGAGACTGAGCGCGACGACTGCCAACACGTCACGTGTCACAACGGCGGCCAATGTCTGGATCTGAGGCTCGACTTCCGCTGCGTTTGCGAACCCCCGTTCGGCGGCCGCTTCTGCCGCCAGATGTCGCCCACGGCGTGCGTCGAGTCCGCGGAACACATGTGGACGTTCAACGTGTCCGCCGAGTGCCGCAAAGTGTGTGTTTGCGAACAGGACTTGGTTTGCGGCGAAATGTGCGCAAAATTCAACGCTTTTTGTCGAAAAGAAGACAAAAATGAAATCATTTTCGAATTTGAAAAAATTCCGCAATTTTTTTGTCAAACTTTACAAACAATCCATTTTCTGATCTCTAATTCGCGCGACTTTTGCTGCGAACGAAAGAACTCCCAAATAGTCCTTCACTCCTCGCACTCGTCGCGGTTGTTGCGGTACGCGCTCGCCATGGGCGCCACCGCCGCACCGCCCGCCTGGTCGCTCACGTGCGCACTATTGGCGGCCGCGGTTGCTGTCATGGCTGTGGCTGCCATCGTGTGTCACGTGACGCGACGCGAGCCCAGATCGACGACGAGTGACGTCACCGTAATTCGCAATAACCTGAATAAAAGCCTTGCCTGACATATACTTTATCGATCGCTCGCTCTGCGCCGACGCATCCCTGACTCAAGGTCTCTGCAGAGGCACAGCTCTGAGCGCGCGTGGGAACGGAAGCATCACTCAAACAGTCCTTGAATTCCTTGCGAAGAAAATGCGTTGAAATCGCCAACAGATCTGCGAAAGTCTGCGAATCGGATCCAAACCAGAAGAATGGACTCTTCGGACGCGCGGACGCCTTTCGTCGCGCCCGCAATGCCCACGACTGTGCGCCTCACGGAGCCCGAGCGGCCCTTCGCGGAGACGGTGTGGGCGTGGCTGGTCAGCAACCTGTTGATTGTTTTATACTAAATATACTATTGATTCGAACGCCGATATGTTTTGTGCATAGATTTCCTTAGATTTCCGTTTCCGGATTCCGCGATCCCTTCGACGCGTTCGGAACGTTGGCTCTCGAGGGAGACTGCGATAATAGAGGGGTGTTAGAGCAGAGGCAGAGAGTGTTGCCATAGTTACCATAATGGAGAGTTTGCGGGGCATGGACTCGGCCAGCTCGATCGCGTGCTCGGCGTCCCACTTGTCGAGCTCGGCCTTCGACAGGTGGTAGACCACGCCTACAAATAGAGGGGTCAGTGGGGGTCAGAGGTGGTCTGAGTGCTTACCGGCGCCGAACGCGTCGCCCAACACGTTGATGGAGGTGCGGATGCGGTCGCTATGGAGACACAATGATTAGAGTAGATTAATTGGGGTCACGTGACTCACAGGAACCAGTCGACGGCGATGATCATGGAGATGTCTTGAGTGGGAAGTCCGAGCGCGGTGAGCACGAGCAACATGGTGACCAGGCCGGCCGACGGCACGGACGCCGCGCCGATGGAGGCGGCGGTGGCCGTGAGCGACACGATGATGATTTGGCCGATGTTGAAGTCCACGGCGTTCATCTGCGCGATGAAGATGGCGGCCACCGCCTCGTAGAGCGCCGTCCCGTCCATGTTGACGGTGGCGCCCACTGGCAGCACGAACCGCGTCACCTGGGGGTCAGGGGTCAGTGGGGGTCGGCAGAGGGCAGCACAGGTCTTCTACTCACCCGTTTGTCGATGTGGTTGTTCTCCTCGAGGCAGCGGAAGGTGACCGGAAGGGTGGCGGCGGAGGAGGCGGTGCCCAGAGCCGTGACCCACGCCTGCAACATGCCGCGGAAGAAGGTGAGCGGGTTCTTGCGCGTGACCGAGTAGTAGATGAGCGGCAGAGTGATGACGGCGTGGATGAGGAGGCCGGCGATGACCGTGAGCATGTAGAGGCCGAGCTGCTGCGCCACCGAGTACATGTCTCCGATGTCGAGGATCTTGTTGATGATGAGCGAGGCGATGCCGATCGGGGAGTACCACATGCAGATGACCACCAGGCGCATCACGATCTCGTTCAGGATGACGAAGAACTTGATCATGGTCTCGGCCTCGGAGCCGAGTTGGCCGCAGATGATGCCGAACGCCGTGCAGAACACGATGAGGCCGAGCACGTTGCTGTTCTGGATGTAGGGGAAGGAGCGCACCATCTGGTAGAAGCGCACTTCACTGTGGAGGGAGCCGTCGGGCGCGCGCACCTCAACGGACGCGTTCTCCACGCGATCCCAGCGCACGTGCGCCTCGCGGCCGGTCAGGTTGAGGCGCGCGCCACGCGTCCACTCCGTGCGCACCGACGCGAAGGCGGCCTGCAGCAGGTTCTCGGGGAACATGTTCCTGGCCAGATCCAACATGGCGTCGAGTGTGGAGACGCGCGTGTCCGTCTTCTCCTGGATCGTCAGCATGGCGGCCTCTTTGATCTTGGGGTTGCCCGGGTGGATGGCCAGCACGAGCACGATGCCCAGCACGGCGGCCAGCATCGTGGTGCCGAAGTAGTAGGCGAGCGCGCGACTGCCCATGCGCCCCGAGCTGGCCGCGTCCAGCTGCGCGAGGCCCGCGACGAGCGAGGACACGATGAGCGGAATGATCAGCATCTTGAGCATTCGCATGAGAAGGTCGCCCGGGAAGCCGATGAGCATGATGGTGTCCTCGTCGTAGTGCGCGTATCGCATGAGGCAGCCGCAGACGAGGCCGCCCACCACGGAGAGCACGGTCAGCACGAGCAACAGGTTGCTGACCAGCCACGCCCACACCGTCTCCGCGAAGGGCCGCTCGGGCTCCGTGAGGCGCACAGTCGTGGGCATTGCGGGCGCGACGAAAGGCGTCCGCGCGTCCGAAGAGTCCATTCTTCTTCTTGTGGATCCGATTCGCAGACTTTCGCAGATCTGTCGCGGATTTCAACGCATTTTCTTCAAAGGAATTCAAGGACTGTTTGAGTGATGCTTCCGTTCCCACGCGCGCTCAGAGCTGTGCCTCTGCAGAGACCTTGAGTCAGGGATGCGTCGGCGCAGAGCAGGCGATCGATAAAGTAGAGTGTTAGGCAAGGCTTTTATTCAAGTTATTGCGAATTACGGTGACGTCACTCTTCGTCGATCTGGGCTCGCGTCGCGTCACGTGACGCACGATGGCAGCCACAGCCACAGTGACAGCAACCGCGGCCGCTAACAGTGCGCACGTGAGCGACCAGGCGGGCGGTGCGGCGGTGGCGCCCATCGCGAGCGCGTACCGCAACAACCGCGACGAGTGCGAGGAGTGGACGACTATTTGGGAGTTCTTTCGTTCGCAGCAAAAGTCGCGCGAATTGGAAATCAGAAAATGGATTGTTTGTAAAGTTTGACAAAAAAATTGCGGAATTTTTTCAAATTCGAAAATGATTTCATTTTTCTCTTCTTTTCGACAAAAAGCGTTGAATTTTGGACACATTTCGCCGCAAACCAAGTCCTGTTCGCAGACACACACTTTGCGGCACTCGGAGGACACGTTGAACGTCCACATCTGTTCCGCGGACTCGACGCACGCCGTGGGCGACATCTGGCGGCAGAAGCGGCCGCCGAACGGCGGTTCGCAAACGCAGCGGAAGTCGAGCCTCAGATCCAGACATTGGCCGCCGTTGTGACACGTGACGTGTTGGCAGTCGTCGCGCTCAGTCTCGCAGTGCTTCCCCTCGAAGCCTACAATGAGAACACAATTAGCGACGCGAACGCCACCTGTCGGCACAAACCTTCTTCGCACTCGCAGTGGAACGACCCCTCCGTGTTCTGACAGCGCACGGCGCGCACACACGCGCTCACGTCCTCGCACTCATTAATATCCTCCTCGCACCGCTCGCCCCGCCATCCCGACACGCATTGACACCGGAAGGCGTTCCTCAGGTTGTGACACGTGCCGCCGTTCGCGCACGGGTTGGACGCGCACTCGTCGACGTCGCGTTCGCAGCGCTCGCCAGAAAAGCCCGGAGCGCACGAACAGTGGAAGTGCGAGGCGTTTTGCGCGTGGCAGAGGCCAGAGTGCAGACACGGGCGCAGTGCGCAGGCGTCGACGATGGTCTGGCAGTGGAGGCCGGAGAAGCCGTCGGGACAGTGGCAGCGGTAGGCGTCGGGCGCAGTGTTCACGCATTGGCCGCCATTGAGGCAGAGATGGGAGGCGGAGGCGCACACGTCGAGGTTGTGGTCGCAGAGAATTCCGCCCCAATTGCGGTCGCAGTTGCACGTGAAGGGCGCGACGCAGAAGCCGTGGCGACAACCTGTGGAGAGGAGTGTTAGTAACGGTTGTCATGGAGACAGAGCTCTGACCGGGGTAGGGCTGGCACTGGTCGCAGCGATCGCCGCGCCACCCGTGGCGACACACGCACTTTTGGGGCGATTCGCAGAATCCGTTGAAACAATCGCAAAGCGCTGCAAAGAGAGAGAAGTGGAGGAATGTGAAGAGAGAGAAGACATTGTGGTCTCACGCGCGTCGCAGGAGGCGCCACTCCAACCCGCGGCGCACTCTTTGGTGCCGTTCGCGGAACACGAGTAGTGGCCGAACGTGTCGTCACGTGACCGGCAGAAAACGGCGCAATCGTTGGAGTGATAGTTGGGATCGCATTTCACGCGTATTTTTGCCCCCAATCAAGTCTCACGTGCATTAATCGTTTAGCATTTTCTCTTTCTTCACTTTTCTTCGCTTTTAATCATTTGTAATATAATTCTGAATAATTAACAAACGATTAGTCAATCAAACAATGCTTTCAATCGCGAGATTCCATTCGCGACGTCCGCCGCGCGCGCCCTCACGCCCACCATCGCCTCCCTCGTGGGCGCCCTCGCGTCGCGGCCAACACCGCCGCCACCAGATGGCGCAGCGCTTGCCTCAGAGCCACGCACTCGCGCTCCAACTCAGCATGAGCGCGCCTCCGCGCCACTGCCAGCGCGATGGCCGCCATTTTGTGGCCGCAGATCACCACGAGTTTCGTTTCGTTCAGAAGTCGCACTTTCGGCACCAGAAGCGCGCTCTTCTCCACTGTGGCCAAGAAGTCGCACACGGCGTCCGACAGGAGGCGCGCGCTCTCCTCCCACTCCTGCCGGAAGTACTCGCAGTCCTGCACACTGTCCTCCTCTGTGTGCAGTGGAGGCGCCGGCAGAGGGCGCGCTCCGACGGTTCGCGGGAAGTCGTAGTCGAGAAGCGCTTTGTTGTTGTTCGGGATTTGGTATAAGTCTGCGCGCGGACAACAATACAGTTCAGGCGCGACGGGCGACGACGCGGACGACAGCCGACGACCGATGGACTCCTCGGACGACGAGTCGTTGCTTCGGACGCAAACAGGAATGTCGTAGAAATTGCTTTTCGGAAAATCGTACGAATTTTCCGAAGAATTCCAAGAATTCCTCCGATTTATGGAAAGCCTGAAAGAGAAAGCGTCAGAACTGACCGCTTGACCACCACAACACTCACCTCTTCTCCTCTCCCGGCCTCTCAGCCATTCCCTCTTCGGAACTGCAATTCGAAATGAGTGTCGAATCTGAGTTCTCGAGCAGAGGTTTCGAAACTGCATTTCTGCCACAAATTACGTCACTTTTGATGACGAAAGCAGCGATCGATAAGAAAGAAGAAGAGTTTCACAACTTTTGATCCAATTCTCCGCTAATTAGCTCTCAATTCGTGTCAAGGAATCAAAAATGCGAGAATCGATCCAAAAGCCAAACTCCGCATTCCCAACATGTTTGTCTCGCGCGTCGCTCTCCTCCTGCCCTTCCTCTGCACCGCCGCGTCTCTGCGCGCGCGGAGAGCGGCCTACGACTTGCCGTCGGGCGCTCTCGAGGCCACCGGTCTCTCTCAGGTCAAACGCGTCTTCAAGTGCGAGTCCGACGGCTACTTCGCGGACGTGGCCAACGAGTGAGTGTCACGTGATCACTGTTCCTATAATGCCAATTGTGTTCCTCAGGTGCAAACTGTTCCACATCTGCGCGACGCCTGTGGGCGCCGACAAGAAGGCGCAGACGCAGTCGACGATGGCGTGCGGACAGAACCAGCGCTTCGACCAGAGCAAACTCGTGTGCGTGGCCGACGCCGACGCCATTCCCTGCAAAGCCAGTCCCGACTTCTTCTATTTGAACGAAAGGATCGGCGAACAGAACGCGGCCTTCCTCGGCCCCACCGACGTGGACAAAGCCAAGAACGCCAGACCCGACTACAGGGCGCGCAAGTGACACATGTGTCGCGAGAGAGCGATTGTTGCGTAAAAACACTGTTTCGAAAGTTTCAATAAAAGTTTCGCAAAAACCTGTTTTCATTTCAAAATCGGTTTTTCCGCCAAATGTTTGCCCAAAAGGGCGACAGATGTCAGCACTGGTCGTGACGTCATCAGCGAGTCGTAAATCAGATGAGAGTTTGAGTAAACATTGGGTTTTGTAATCAGAAAACAAACACTTTTATCACTGTTTGTGTCTTCTGTTCGCGTAAACAGCGTTTCTGGAAACAAGCGATCGCTTTGTCGCTCTTCTCTGACCTCAAACTCGGGCTCAAAGTCCACAAAGAGTTGCAGAAAACGAATCGAAGGTCGAGTCGAGCGTTAATTACGTTCTCTTCTCCGCCGAAGAGATTGCGTCGAAAGCGTCGCCAAAAGCGGACGTAATTTGTGTTTTGGGAAAACAGGTTTTCCCAATACGTCTCTTCGCTTGTGTTTGGCGTCCAAAGCGACCAAAAGCCGAATCCATGGCCGAAGCGCACTCCGCCGTCGCCTTCTCCTTCCAAGTGACGCACGAAGGCATGTCCTCCACTGCTGTACTGACACCCCTAACCCCTCTCCCCCGCAGGCGTGCGCATCAACTACGACCACCAACTCCTGCGTCAGGTGTGGCTCTCGGGGCTGCGCTCGTGGCGGAACCGCTTCTCGCGCTTCGGGAACAACTTCGCGTCCGGGATCTACCCGTCGTCCGTCGAGTTCCTCATAACCATCGTCGCCGTCGTGCTCTCCGCGCATCTCCTGCTCCACCGCGACCTCAGCTGCGGTCTCGTGTCTCTCGTCGACGCGGCGCTGCAGTCGTGGCTGTCGTCGGAGGTGTCGTCAGTGGTGTCGTGCGTCGCCTTCGCTGTCGTCCTTTGGCTCTTCAAAATGCTTTTCATGCGATATTCGCTCAAATTGCTGCTCATGTATAAGCAGTGGATGTACGAGTCGCGCGCCAACAACAGTCAGTACTGTCACGTGTCTGTGTCTGTTCTCACCCCCTCTCCCCCGCAGAGCCGTCCACGACGACCAAACTGTGGCTGCTGCTGATCCGCGCGCTCACGCTCACGAAGTCGCCGCAACTCTACTCCTACCAGGCGTCGTTGCCGCGCCTCCCGCTTCCGCCCCTCCACACCACTATTGACCGCTACCTCCTGTCTGTGCGCGCGCTCCTCGACGACCGCGAGTTCGAGCGCACGCGCCGTCTGGCGGAGGAGTTCCGCGACGGCGTCGGCCGCAAGTTCCAGCGCTACCTGTGGCTCAAGAGCTGGTGGTCCAGCAATTACGTCAGCGACTGGTGGGAGGAGTTCGTGTATCTGCGCGGCCGACAGCCCCTCATGGTGAGTCACGTGGTGTTTGTGTCCTAAATAGTAACAGCATTCCCCCCAAGGTCAACTCCAACTTCTACGGCATCGACGCTCTGATGGACGGCCCGACCAATAGTCAGACGGCGCGCGCCGCGAACCTCGTCTACGCCGCGCTCCTCTTCCGCAAACAGATCGCGCGCCAGGAGCTCAAGCCGGTGAGTGTGTTCCGTTCCCATGACGACCGCTGACCCGTTTCGTTGCAGATCCTGGTGCAAAACCTTGTGCCGCTGTGCTCCGCGCAATACGAGCGCATGTTCAACACGACGCGCGTTCCCGGCCGCGACGCCGACCGCATCCAGCACTTGGACGACTCGCCGCACATTGTTGTGCTGCACGCGGGCAAGTTCTACAAACTCACCATCCACCACAGGGGGCGCCTCCTGCTGCCCAAACAGCTCCAACAGCTGTTGCGCCAGATAGTGGCCGACCAGTCGCCCGCAGCCGCCGGCGAATCAAAATTGGCGTCGTTGACGGCCGCAGAGCGCGGGGTGTGGGCGGAGACGCGCGCGCAGTTCTTCGCGAAGGGCATCAACCGCGTGTCGCTCGCGGCCGTGGAGAAGGCGGCCTTCGTGCTCGTGCTCGACTCGGAGGACTTCGAGTTCGCGACCGCCGACCAGTTGGACACTTACGGCCAGCTGCTGCTGCACGGGAAGGGAAACGATCGTTGGTTCGACAAGAGCTTCAACCTCATCGTCGCGCGCAACGCCAGAGTCGGCTTCAACGGCGAGCACTCGTGGGCAGACGCGCCCGTCATGGCGCGTGAGTTGTCGAATCATAACATGCATTGTGTTCACGTGTTTCTCTTCCTCCGCAGACTTGTGGGAATTCGTGCTTCACTACGACTTCCATGTTCTGCAATACGACGCCGACGGCGACTGTCGTCTTGGCAACGGCTTCGACGCGTCGCCGCCCATTCGCCTGCAGTGGGAATTCCCCGACGCCCTCTGTCACGTGATCGACCAGAGCTACGAGAACGGTAATAACGCCCTCTGGTGTCTTTTCTCTCTAACCCTTTCTCTCCCCCCGCAGCGCAATGCGTGTTGAAAGACGTGGATCTGCGGCTCTTCCGTCACGACGCGTACGGAAAGGGATTCATAAAGACGTGTCGCGTCTCTCCCGACGCCTACATCCAGATGGCGCTGCAGTTGGCGTATCTGCGCGACGTCGGCCACCTCTCGCTCACCTACGAGGCCTCCATGACGCGACTCTTCCGCGAGGGCCGCACCGAAACCGTGCGCCCCGTCACCGTCCAGTCCGCCGCCTTCGTGCGCGCAGTGGCCGCCGGCCAACCCCCCGACACGTGCCGGGAGTTGCTGCGCGTGGCCTGCGCCCGGCACCAGCGCGCCTATCAGGAGGCGATGTGCGGGAAGGGCGTGGACAGACACCTCTTCTGTCTCTACGTCATCTCCCAATACCTGGAAGTGGACTCGCCTTTCCTCAAACAGGTGCTGTCCGAGCCCTGGAAGCTCAGCACTTCCCAAACCCCACATGGCCAGGTCGGCCTCCTCTCCAAATGCATCTCCGCGGGCGGCGGCTTCGGGCCGGTGGCCGACGACGGCTACGGCGTCTCTTATATAGTGGCCGGCGAGGAGACAATCTTCTTCCACATCTCTTCGAAGAGCAGTTCCCGAACCACAGACTCGCGCCGCTTCGCCGACAACGTGGACCGCGCGCTCCGCGACCTGCGCGCGCTCTTCCTCTGACGTCACACACGACGCGACAACAATGCAATTATTTTAAGCCATTTAATGGCGAATAAAAGTTTATTTTAACAACACTTCGTTTTTTGTGGCGCTTCGATCGGAAAGGGCGCGCTCGCGGCCATTGTTGCCATAGAGCGCGGCACTCGCAGCGCTAGAGAGAGAGAGAGAGTCAATTACAACTTGGTTTCCATGGTTTCCCACAACTGACCGCAACTCTCGAACAGTTGGTTCACGTTCTGCGCGCTCTTCGCCGACGTCTCCCAGAAGAGCGCGCCGCAGCGTTCGGCCATTTCCCGCCCGTCGCGTGACGTCACCTTCGCCGCCAGGTCGCACTTATTCGCCGCCAGCGCGATGACCAGGTCGTTGTGCGCGTGCGTCTGCAGTTCTCTGACCCACGATTGGATGGAAGCGAACGAGTCCTGAACGACAACAATGTTATTGTCGCGCTCTTCCGCCGAGCAATACTCACCTCCTGCGTGACGTCATACACCACAACACAAACGCACGCTTTCCGGTAATACCTGTGGAGGAAGAGTGTGAGCGCGCGTGCATTGTTGTCTCCACACTTACATGGGCGCCAACGCGCGGTACTAAGGGGGGAGAGAGGGGGAGGGAAGAGTTAGAACAATGGGTGGACACGTGACCACGGGTTCGGACACTGCGACACAGAACCCCTTTTAGCACAGAGGGGTGTGAACACAGAGGGGGTTCTGTGTCCCAGAGTGTGTGAACACGTGACTCACCATCTCCTGGCCGGCGGTGTCCCAGATGTTCAACTTGTAGATGACGTCATTCTGGATGAAGGTTTTGGTGAGGAACGACGCCCTGCGCGAGAAATGGCGTTAATTTGAATTGAAATTCTCGCATTTTTTACCCAATCGTCGACTCGTTGTGAGAATTGAAAACGTTTTGAACGAAACGCTGAAAGAAAAAGCATTCAAAACGCGAACAACAATAAGACAATGAGAGTTACGGTCGCGAGCGACGACTTGCCGACGCCAGAGTCCTAATGAATAAATGGCCGTTAATTGGGAGCGCAATTGGAGCGAGACTTACGCCCAGAAGACAGATCTTCACTTCCAGTGTTTCGGACATTGTTTTCATAACAAATGACGAAATGTTGATGACGTCATCGAAGCGACGCTAAAATCGCCTTTTATTCACTTTCACACAAATTATACACAATTTATTCAATTTTTACTCAATTTTATTCAATTTTATTCAATTTTTGTCTCGTTTTTCAACATTTCCTGAAAACAAATCAAAAACAATGAGTTTTTGGTCGAAATTGAGTCAAAAATTACTTTTTGGACGAAATTCTTGATTCGATTCAAAGAGTCTTCGATTTTGTCGTTGATTATAATTGTGTCGAAAATGTGCTGATTTTGTTCAATATATCGCAAGTCGTCGCCCGCGCGCGACAACCGCAACGACAACGACTTCGCGTCTTCTGTGGCGCGAGATTTCAGATTCCTTTCCTTTTAATTCAAAACACAATTCAAAAACAAAGCATTTTTCGCAACAATTACCAGATTCTCGAGCGACGCCTTGATCAGCACGTATTTGGCGTTTAGGCCGTGCTTTCTGAGCGCCAGAACGCCGTTTATGTCGACGTCCAGAACGGGAAGCGCCTTCTCCTCGCTTTCGGCCACTTTCCGCAACTCCTGCCAACTATGAGTGCAAACAACCGTCAATTCAATGCCCCAACACTCGCCGCCAAACCTCGTGCCGTAGAAGTTGTCGGCGAACTCCGAGGACTCCAAGAACTCCTTCTTCGCCTCCATGTCTCGGAATCTCTCTTTCGACACGAAGTAATAGTCTTTTGCCTCCGTTTCCGTCGCTCTCGCGCCGCGCGTCGTGTGAGAGACCACCGCTCGCACCACAGAAGGCCAGTCGGCCACCAGTCGTGACAAGAGAGTGGTCTTTCCCGAGCCCGACGGTCCGCACACCACGAGACACGGCTTCCATCCCATCGCAGGCATTGTTGACACTCGCGCTCAGAGAGGGCGCCACTCGTCTCTGTCAACACTGTTAAGCCATTTGTGTTTGAAATGCACTTCTCGTGAATCGCAACAATCGGCTCATGGGTTGTGTTTACTCACAACAATCGCGGCGATCGCGCGATTCGCACAACTCCTCCCACGCGGACAACGCGCGCGTCTTTCACGTAATGGCCGTCTTGTGTTGTCTCGCGCTGTAATCATTGTCTTCCAGGTGTGCAATGTGGACGACAGGGGCCAAGAGGTGAACACAGGGAAGATCGAGATCACGGACGCAGAGCTCGCGCTCCACCAGAAGGGCCGCAACTCCATCTTCTGGTCGCTCAGGTATTCGTGCACCACGTGATCACACTGTATTAACGCCTTCGCCGCAGATCTCTTCGCAGATACGGTTTCGACGCCGAGCTCTTCTCCTTCGAGTGCGGCCGCAGATGTCCGACCGGTCCCGGTATGCGCTCTCACTGTCTCTCCCCGCTAACTGTGCTCTCACTTCGCAGGCATCTACGCCTTCAAGTGCTCGCAAGCGGAACAGCTCTTCAACGCGCTCCAAGAGGCCATCCAGATGTCCACTTTGCAGAACAACCACGTGATCGCCCCGGAGGCGCCGCCCGAACTCAACCCCCGCTTCGCGCGCCCCCCGGAGCCGCACGCGTACACGAACTCGCCCTTCTACGTCAACACCTCGGCCGCCGCCGCCGCGCTCCCGACCACCCGCAGTGACGTCAACACCAATTACGCCAAACTCGACGATTTGGTGCGATTCTACGTCAACATCAAGACCCCTGTGGTCGTCAACGGCAACGGTAAACACACGTCAGTTGTCGCCCCCTCTCACGCCCCCTTCTCCGCAGGCAAAGACAGTCCGCCGCAAACGCCGCCTGCCGTCGACCCCGTCAACTACATCATGTTGGATCTGGACACCAATCAGCCGCAGCCCACGGTCGTCACCACAGCGCCGCCCACGCCCGTGGCCAAGACGCCCCAAATGGAGTTCCCGCCCACCACTCCCCCCGTGACGCCCACCGCGTCGACGGCGCCGCCCATGCCGTACGCGCAGATCGACTTCGCGAAGACGGGCGCGCTCTCGGCGTCGGCCGCCAATCGGCGCAAGTTGTAAATAAAGTCATTTCGAGACAAACTTTTATATTTTCTCATTTCGATTAGTTTTGAGTTTTTGTAAATATTTAGCGAAAAAGAATGCTTTTTCTCTTCTGTAAGGCTTTTATCGCCTTTTCTATAGATTTGTGTAAAAATAGTGATTTTGTGTCGAAATAGTTGTCAAATATTTTTACGAATAAACATGTTTTGCGCATTCATTCAAACCATGTATTGTTATCTCTATTCGTGACGTCATTTATTGATTTGAAGGCATTTTGAAAACTATTCCTAAATTCGAGAGATTTTGCGTTCAATTCTCTCACAATTATTGCCGTCAAAGAAGTCATTGTTGTCTCGCGACTCCTCTCCACACCCGCGCCGCCCAGAATGCCGAACATTAAAGTGTTTTCCGGATCTTCTCATCCGGATTTGGCCAAAAAGACTGTCGAGAGACTCGGTTTGTATTCTTCCCTAGCAATGACCATGGACCTTGGTCATGTTGTCCACCCTGCTCACCTGTCCACTCCTGTCCCCATTTTAGGCATCGATTTGGGAAAAGCGGTTCTCAAGAAGTTCTCCAATCAGGAGACGTGGTTCGCATCTCTGTCTCCGAGGCCTCTCTCGAGACCTCGACCTTTGAACCCTCACTAACACGTGACTCTCTTTAGTGTGGAAATCGGGGAATCGGTTCGCGGCGAAGACGTGTACATCATTCAGAGCGGTTGCGGAGAAGTGAACGACAATCTCATGGAACTCCTGATCATGATCAACGCGTGCAAGATCGCGTCGGCGCAACGCGTCACGGCTGTCATCCCGTGCTTCCCGTATGCGCGACAGGACAAGAAGGACAAGGTATGCACGCAATGCTCTGCTGACCACTACTGACCACTGCTCTGCACAGTCGCGCGCGCCCATCAGCGCCAAACTCGTGGCCAACATGTTGTCGGTGGCGGGCGCCGACCACATCATCACCATGGACCTGCACGCCTCCCAGATTCAGGGTAAGCCCCTCCCCCACAACCCCCTCCCGTCTAATCGCGTTCACCGCCAGGATTCTTCGACATTCCGGTCGACAACCTGTTCGCCGAACCCGCGGTCCTGAAATGGATTCGCGAGAACATCCCCGAATGGCGCTCCTGCATCATCGGTAAGCCCCTGTCTGCCCCCCTAATCTCCCCTCTAACCCCCCTTTGCACGCAGTGTCGCCCGACGCGGGCGGAGCGAAGCGCGTGACGTCGATCGCGGACCGTTTGAACGTGGACTTCGCGCTCATCCACAAGGAGCGCAAGAAGGCCAACGAAGTGGCCTCAATGGTTCTGGTGGGAGAAGTGCGCGACCGCGTGGCCATCCTCGTGGACGACATGGCCGACACGTGCGGCACCATCTGTCACGCGGCGCAGAAGCTGTCGGAAGCGGGCGCCTCCAAGGTGTACGCGATCCTCACGCACGGCATCTTCTCTGGTCCCGCGTGCGAACGCATCTCGAAGGCGGCGTTGGAGGCGCTGGTCGTGACGAACACCATTCCGCAGGAGAAGAACATGCGCGACTGCTCCAAGATCCAGGTGACACGTGACTAACATAGAAGCTCTTCACTAACCCCCTTTCCTTGCAGTGCATTGACGTGAGTATGATTTTGGCCGAAGCCATTCGTCGCACGCACAACGGCGAGAGCGTGTCCTACCTCTTCTCCAACGTTCCGATGTAGAGGGCGTTGCAGTCGCGCGCTCTGTGCCAAAACACATTCCCCTAAGCTTTTAATGCAAATAAAGAACATTTTTTGAACTTTGAACTTTTTCGCCAGATTTCTCATTTCTGCTGTGAAGCCATTCGCAGGAATCACAACCGCGAGAGCATCGGCTCTCTCTTCAAAGAAGTGCCGTTTTGATAGAGTTTTAAGTCTTTTATTCATTAATCAAATAAAGGTATTCAAAGAGAGATCTGTTTTGCCATTATTTTGGACGAATTGTAAACATTCCACAAGTCTTTGTCAACAAATCTGAACAAAGAGTCAAATATTGGCACAAATTTATTCCAGCTTTCATTCATTGATAATAACTGCGAGAAAAGAGAAAATCAGAAAAGAGAAGCGTTTTCTCCAACACTCACGGTAAGGGAACGGGCATCGCGCCCCCACCACCGCCGCCGCCAAACCCGCCGCCGTTGCGCGCCAACAGTATGCCGAATATGAGGCCTTTGAGGAACTTCTTGTCGCCCATGGCGTCGACGATCGTCAGCAGGAGAAACGCGAGCACAACCACGAGAACCACTTTGGACAACATTTCGGGCACAACAGCCGCTCCACCACTGCGCTTATATACCTGTAGGGCCACACCCGGCTGTCACGCCCGCGCGTGCACCCAATGGAGCGTTTATTGCACGAAACGTTTGCTCAAAAATAGACTCAAAAGTCGTTAAACTCTCGATTGGTTTCCGAATTATAAATTACAGTAATTATGAATTCAAACGCCTTTCGAAAAGCCATTAATTAAACAGTTTTAAAGAAGTGTTTAATTCGCGGAAAAAATAATTTCGCTTTCATTTCTTGAAAATGTTTTCCCTGAAAGTGACGCGACTTCTGCTCCTGTTCTGTCTCACGTTCGCCTTCGCTTCTGGCGCCAAGTCCTTCATCAAAGGTTCGCCACTCTTCACTCTCTCGCGTCTGACGCTCTTTGCTTTCAGGTCTGATTATCGGCGGTCTTTTGGGCCACAAGAAGGCCGCGCTGTTGCACGAGAAGGGCGGAGAGGAGCACAAAGAGCACTACGAGAAGGAGTACGTGCCGATGCCTGTGCACAAGGAGTACATCCCGGTGCCGATGCACGACGAGCCCAAATATATCCCCATTTAGTGAGTATTGCAATCGCGACGCGTTTTCCGTTAATCTCTGTTTCAGTATTGTTAAGGAATGCACGAAAAAGAGCGAAAAGTCGTACAGTTTTGACGACTCTTACGACGAAAGCGATTCGCATTTCGCGGGAAATGGAGACAAGTATTTGGGAGAAGACGACGCGAAGGACTTTGACGGCTACGAGAGCCGCGAGCGACGGGTGACGAAAATGGACACGAATTCGCTGAATATCGACATTTCGGCGCAAAAGAACTGAACATGATTTTTAAATATATTTATTTTTGGTATTTTGTTAACTAAACGTGTTTTTAGTGCCAATTCTCTCTTAAAGACTGTAACTCTTGAATGAGAGCAAATGTGCAGCACTTATAAAAGGCGTGAAGATTATTGATAACAAGAAACTAGACTTTGATATCATTAAACATATCGATATCACAGTTTAAGTTTCTTTTTGTAATGTTTATGATTAATAAATAATGCGATTCTTCTCTCATATGACACACGGCAGTTGAGTGTAGCGCAGGGCGTAACCTAAACACAGATAATAGTTAGAGTCTTACTCTCCCACTCTTCCAATGCTCACCGATCTGCGAGTTGAAGGCGTTGTTGAAGTGGTCGCCATTCGAGCGGATCTTCAGTTGGAAGGGTTTCGAACGCGCTGTCGATGCGAACAACGATTACTCATAAATTCAATTACAATGACTTCACTTACAAATGACAAAGTCGTGGTCGAGCAGTTTGGAGCCGCAGAAGCGGTCCTCGCCCTGACCCGTGCCCTCCAGCGACCCCTGGTCGATGCCCACGAAGTCGTCAAAGTTGCACATCTGGCCGCTCGCGCCGCCTAA